CAGAGGAAAAATGTTACATGCAAACAATGAAATGCATTTAATTATGCATGGTATAAAATACTATTTAGAAGGAGGAGAAACACTTCCCATGGCTTTTTGTTTTCGATGCCCCATCATACGGTACAGTCTTTTGCTTCAAATTCATTCATCACTTATAACAATGTCAAATGCTAATACAGTATTTTGCATATTATTGTTGTATGACATCAATACATTTTGATGTTCAAAGGAATTTTCGTCTTTTTATACAATAAAACGTTTTCTGTTAGTTGCCACTTCATGATCCTGAAGCCAAACAAGCAGAGAAGCAAATTTCACTAAATGCAATTTTTTTCATTTGTAAAATTAAGGGTAGTAGTTGAGATGCACCTGATTTAGTGATTTACTTTAACCCCTTTTTCCGTTTTGGAAATCTCCTCATGAAGTTCGTGGGAAAAAAGTTGAGATTGGATGGAAAATAATGTTTCTGCTAATGCTCACAAAGTAACATTTATAAACTGAATTTTCCACTGAGGTGAGCTGCAGCAGTGCAGCACGTTTTTGCACGATCAAATCTCGCGCATCTTAAAATAGAAGCCGCGTGTCGGTTTACAGGCAGAATGCAGAGAGAGTATGCTTTTTCATTAATGTGTTATGCACGCGTGTGCAGATGAGCGCGTGCTGTGTCGAATGTCGGTTTGTGTGTCAGTGCAGGTCTCGGGCGTTGTGTGTGTGTTACGCGAGTGAAGCACGGAGGCTTGAATGGTTGTGCTTCACATCAAAGGCTCAGGCAAGTCTCTGCATTAACAAGCCCCTTTGTTTCCTGCCAGAGAGAGAGAGAGAGAGAGAGAGATTACAACAGCAGCAGCACGTGAACCCTCCATAAGCACCATTGTGGAGATGCCTTAAGCCTTGAGAGTGCTGAAATGTCCAAACTTCAATGCAATCATTATGTTTCTCAATCACTCTGAGGCAGGAAAGCACTGACCGTTGTGTATCTGGGTGCGGCCAATAAAACACACACAAGTGCACTTGAGTTAAACTGTGTTCCTTTGGATGTGGCTCGACCTCAGTTAAAGGTTGTGATTTAATTAGTCTGCTACTTAAATGTGCCTGGAGATTATTTAGGAAGTGCAGCATGTAATTTTTAGGAACTGCATTTATCCTCGAAACCATCAAAGCTTGCAGTGCCACTGAAATGAGGCAGAGTGGGGGTTTATTCCACTCAGAATGTAGCTGGAAAGCTCCCAAACAGCATTTTACTCTTCCTCTCTTGTTCCTCTTGTTTTATTTCTAGGCTATGCCAAATGTGTCACCTACCAAAATCGACCCTAGTGGTGTATATTATGGTGTCTCTAAAAGTAAAATTTATTTAAAGGGGTCATATGATGTTGCTAAAAAGAACATTATTTTGTGTATTTGGTGTAATGAAATGTGTTTATGCAGTTTAAGGTTAAAAAAACACATTATTTTCCATATACTGTACATAATTGTTTCTCCTCTATGCCCCGCCTTTCTGAAACGCGTCAATTTTTACAAAGCTCATTGTTCTGAAAAGCAAGGTGTGCTGTAAATCGCTTTTAAATCTCTGGTTATGCAATATTATCACCAAATATTAGATTCAATCTGTCTATCAACTTGCTTTCTTTCAATTAGCACAGGTTTAGTATTTCTTTTTTTTTTTTTTTTTGACCTGATTCGGTTTTTGAGTGAAAAAGCATTATTTGTGGATAACTTTGACGATGTGAACACACTGAGGTGCATAAGCTCTGATCAATGAGGCCTACGATCAATCAAGAAATACGAAACCTGTGCTAATTGAAATAAAACAAGTTGATGAAAAGATTGAATCCAATAATTGATAAGAATAGAACTTAACAAGGACAGCACAAGTGCAACAATGTGTAGAAAACAATCCCAAAAGAGTACAACAATTATCACAATTTTGGGGGGAAGTTGTTATACCCTCTGTGAGCAAAGTTAGTTGGTTTTAGTCCAATGCAGGAACATTAACTAGCATTTTCAGCCAACATGAGGGTTAATTGCAAAAATGTAACAACAGCGTTTGCTCTCTAAGAGTAGCTCAGTCAACGTGTTACCTTTGCGTTTCCTGCCCCTGTGGCTTAGAAAATGGTAAAATACACGCCGACATTTGAAGTCACACAAAAGACAAATGCTAAAGAGAAAGAAATGGTCTAGGCCAGCTGAGGAACAGCCCCTAAATCTGACACTAGAACATAAACCGACTTATTCAGTCCGAAACAAAGAGTAAAAACCAGAGCGCTATCTCTCAGACAGCATGCAAATATGAGCTCAGTGTAGGAAAACATTGAGAAATCATTAAGAAAGTGATGTAGAAAAACTGCTTCCATGATAAGCAGCTGTCTATATTTAATCAAGGCAAATAAACAAGGTCTCATTTATAATTTAGATTTGCATGCATTAAACAGGCCATTTTTAATCCATTTATTAATATGCATGGAAGATATTGTATAAATATGCAGCCTTATGCAAATACTAGACACATTTTTGTTTGTATTTAATTCTTATTCCCAGCTGTAGTTCGTGACAGAAAATGGACTCAATTATTATTGCACAGCATGGGAAGGCATAAATTTTTTTTTTCAATTAAAACTCAAAACGCCAAAAGAGCAGAAAAATACAAAATAAGTCAAGAGGGTGATTGCTCAATAATTTACAAACAATTCCACAAGTGTGTCATTTAAAAAAGTTATGTCACACTTTACATTGCAGTCTTGGTTTTTATGTGCAATTCTAACCAAGTACATGTATTTAGTATGCCATTATTTTGTGTAGTAACCTATATGGGTAATTAGTAACCGTAACATGTAATAGCTTTTTAGTCAGTGTAATAGCTTTTTTATGATTTAATGATTTAATTATTATTATTATAATTTGGACTCAATTATTATTGCACAGCATGGGAAGGCATAAATTTTTTTTTTCAATTAAAACTCAAAACGCCAAAAGAGCAGAAAAATACAAAATAAGTCAAGAAGGTGATTGCTCAATAATTTACAAACAATTCCACAAGTGTGTCATTTAAAAAAGTTGTCACACTTTACATTGCAGTCTTGGTTTTTATGTGCAATTCTAACCAAGTACATGTATTTAGTATGCCATTATTTTGTGTAGTAACCTATATGGGTAATTAGTAACCGTAACATGTAATAGCTTTTTAGTCAGTGTAATAGCTTTTTTATGATTTAATGATTTAATTATTATTATTATAATTTCTTCATAAGCTCCAGTTTGGGAAATCTTGACGTAATGTTTAATGCACTTCATATTGTTAATAACAACAAATGGAATATATTTTCTTTCTCTTTGTATTTTACATCAATATGGTACAAGATTACCCTATTTAAATCAATGTGATAAACAAGTTAGGTTAAACGTAATCTAAAAGTAATCAAAGTAGTTTGATTATATTACCTAAAATGTGTAATGAAATGGATTTCGTTACCAGCTACAATTTTTGTCATGTAGTTTGGAATCAGTAATAGACTGCAATTTGCATGTAATCTATCCAGCAATGTGTATATATATATATACTGTATGTTTAGTTGTTGTTTTCCAAGTATGTTGACTGCATACTTGGGACAAATACTTTTCCAATGCATGCAAAAACCTGTTATCTGTGACTTCAACACTGGAGCTCTTCTTCATGGTTTATTGTTTGCTGTGTTGGGAAGGTTAGTTTAGAAATGTAATAGGTTACAGATTACAAGTAGAATGTAATAAGTAGTCTAACTATTTCAATTACTTTATTGATTACATTTGATTAGCCTACTTTTTGATTACTTTTCTAAATTTCCAATGAATGTTTTTAACTGTTAATCATTTTGAAACATGTAAAGCAGGCAGGTTTAACCTTACAGAACTCAACACTGATTACTCTCAGACTTTCAAAACCCTTCATCACTTGAATTAAGCTTTTAATAATTTAATTTTAAAGCACAGCTGCCACAAAATCAGATTTTAGCACCTCTTTTTACGTTGAGATGAGGTTAAATACAGATTTAAAACCATAACAATAAATAATTTAGTAGCTATCATACTGTTTTGGAAATCAAATATTTGCATAGCTATGAGAGGAAACACTGGCATCTAACAATGGCTTGGAAAAACAGTTAATCTTAAAAAATATTTAAATTACGTAATATAGTTACATGTTACTAGTTACTTCCCAACACTGATTGTTTGTTTGCTAAAACACAATAAACACCTTGATGATGGGTTCCCTCTTGGTCCATTTTTTCCCAATTAACAGAATTATTTACGCGCTAAACTCTCCAATATTTTAGTGGAGTTTCCAAATTTAATTGAGACTGGTCTAAAGTATTTTTCAGTTACCTCAATTATTCAAACATTTTCAATTAGTCATCATTAACTAATAGCATCAACATCTGGTCTTTGATAAGTGACCCTGCAGCACAAAAGCAGTGTTAAGTCGCTGGGGTATATTTGTAGCAATAGCCAACAATACATTGTATGGGTCAAAATTATAGATTTTTTTTTATGCCAAAAATCATTAGGATATTAAGTGAAGATCATGTTCCATGAAGATATTTTGTAAATTTCCTATCGTAACTATATCAAAACTTAATTTTTGATTAGTAATATGCATTGCTAAGGACTTCATTTGAACAACTTTAAAGGCGATTTTCTCAATATTTAGATTTTTTTGCGCCCTCAGATTCCAGATTTTCAAATAGTTGCATCTCAGCAAATATTGTCCTATCCTAACAAACCATACATCAATGGAACACTTATTTATTTAGCTTTCAGATGATGTAGAAATCTCAATTTAAAAAAAACTGAACCTTTTGACTGGTTTTGTGATCCAGGGTCACATATTTTATTTTATAGTTTTGGTGCGGATACGATAGTTTCTAAGGTTGTGCGTCCTGCATCAAAAAGCCCCGAAACTAAAGAGTGTCGTGTTCCTTTAAGAGCGGACCCGCCCCCCCCGGCTCATCGCAGCTGTCAATCACGCGTCGGTATCTTTGATCTTCGCTGTTCTAAAGCGCGACTGTTTGTTACTTTGAAGTCGCGGCGATCGTCACAGCATAAATAACTTTTCCTCTCTCGCGCGAGTCTCAAACGCTCTTCTGAGCGCGGAAAACAGCGACGACAACAATCAAAAGTACATTAATAAAGTTCGTTCGAATATGCCGCAGCTGAACGGTGGAGGGGGAGATGATCTCGGGGCGAATGATGAGATGATCCCGTTTAAAGATGAAGAAGATCACGAGAAGATCCGGGAGAACGCGTTTACGGAGAGCGACCTGGCTGATCTCAAATCATCACTGGTCAATGAATCCGAGATCAGCCAGAACTCAAACTCTGCCGTAAGACCCCGTCAGCGCATTCATGTGTGTGTGTGTGTGTGTGCGTGTGTGTGTGTGTGATCAGATGCTGTGAGTGTGTGGTCGTGTGCATGAAATAAAGTGTGTTTGTGATGAGCAGGTGATCAGAAGAGGACAGCAGGAAGATCAGAGAATCTACACCGATAAACGAGAACATCTGGACGACGGTGAGACGACACACACACACACACACACACACAGACAGTCCCCAGAAGTGCTCAAAATGATGTAAAGTCTCCCCTCAAACCATGCGCGTTTTGTTTTTAGTTTTTGATGGGAGAGTTTTTATTCTGCTTTACTCTTCACCTACAAGCACTGCTTGTTTGTGTGTCTTTATTTACACAAATCTGTGCCAGTGGCTTTGCGTGGTTTAGTTCTGGGACAGTAGCTATATGTCCCCGGACGTGTACTAAATCAGACAATATAGTAAAATAATACTACTTATTTTAGCTTTCTGTGTTAGAATGTGTCTGTGGCAGCCTGATAAAAATTGAATTGGGGAAATTAAAAACTTTCATCTGGGTCTGATATGTAACTGATGGACTTTTCTTGGGGAAAACCTGAAATCTGCATCATTAAATAAACTGTTTTTATCTCAAGCCTGTTTCCGTTATTTGCACTCTAGAACTGAAACTGCTTTGAAGAGGATCTGTGATTGATCATCATTATATATTTACAAGGGAGTCTATAAATACAACAAACCTAAACCGTTCAGTATGAGGGCTTTACTATAGCGGAAGTTCGTTTTTTTGGGGTAGTTACGCACCTTACACATTCACTAACTTCACAACTTTTATTGTTCTGTCTCGCTTTCTCACTTCAAGTGCCCAGACATCAAGATGGTGGAATGTATAAAGCGGCGTATTCTGGATACCCGTTCCTGATGCTGCCCGAGCCGTATCTACCGAGCGGACCCGTCTCCCCATCTGTAAGTTCCTGACAGCACTGCTGTCCTTCCTCTAGCATTTGATCACTAGTGTCCAGGTGTGTGTGAACCGTGCTGAAGGTCTGGTTAGTTTGAGACAGGCCTGTAATTACACTACAGCCTGAGAGGACTTGAGAAAAGGGCCCTGGAGAGTCCCGCTCGATGCAATTTGAATCTCAAGCTCAGTAGACTTTCATACATTACTTTAGATCTGTTAAGTCTTACAGCGATGCACGCGCTTTTCAGAAAAGCAGTTTTAAAATATTTGGATTTTCAGACATGGTCCTTTAAGTCATATGATGCCTTAAAGTCATTGTTTACACGTCACAATTCAGGAATATCTAATTGTGTGTGAGCATGCATGCATGCATACTGATGCCTTTGACCGCAAATCAATGGCGCATTATATTAACGGACAAATTTAAAACATTTTGATGATGTTACATGACATCATTGTCTTATTTGTCATTTATCTGTTGTGTTTCGACCGTGGCATTGTGACGAATGTGTGGAAATTATGAATGTAAGTGTATTTATAAAGAAAAATGTGCGTACAGTAACTAAATCCAGGTTTTAGCTCGTACAGTGGTTAAATTCCTTCTTGAAAAATGTTCTTATAAAGTTGTAATTGCACAGCTGTAACGCCATATTTTGAGATGTTTCTTGCACATGTAGTGGTTGTTTTATTGAAACTATGAGATTAATAGAATCGAGCTGTAGATAACATTTTTTGGACGGCAACATCGTCGACTGTTAAGTGCACAGATATATACGGATATGCACTGGACATCATCTGAAAATCATCAGTAGGTACGGTGATGATGGCTCTGAATGTCTGTGAAATGAAAGCATGTCTCACTTTCTGAAGTATCTTCCAGGTCTTTCTTAAATGGATAGTTCAGCCAAAAATTAACATTCTGTCATCATTTACTCTCCCTCAAGTTGTACAAAACCTGCATGAGTTTCTTTCTCGTGTTAAACACAAAAGAAGATATTTTGAAGAATGTTGGTAACAAAGCAGTTGCCGGTTGCCATTGACTTCCATATTGTTTTTCCATTCTAACACGATGGCTACCGTCAACTGTTTGGTTACCAACATTCTTCAAAGTATCTTCTTTTGTGTTTAAGTCAATAGAAGTTTGAAGTTTGGGTGAACTATGCTTTTAACTTCAATGCTGCTCAGTGAATGTGAGCGTTCCCGAGCTCCTCGAGGGTCACGTAATGCTATTTTCAAACATCCCAGCTGAACGGAAACCATAAAACCGTCCAAATTCAAGAACTGTGCTTAGTCCCTTAAAAGTGGAAACTATAGATTATAGTCGTGCACTGCATTCAAACTAAGAAGCGTGAAAAGGACATCTCTTTACCCACAATGCACAGCTAAGCTGTTGATTTTACACAGTAATCGGGGATCCTTTATATGTTTATCATTCAAACTCCAAGTGTATTTCATTCCCAAAGACCAAGCGATTGATTGAAGTTAAAGCGGGGCCTGTGTTCTCGAACAAGCCCCGATCGACATGAGCTCATGGTTCAAGCCGCCTTTAGTCTTTGAGTACACAATAGAAGAACGTGGGCTTTGTGTCATAATCCATCCAGAGCAGCTCTCTGACTGACAGCGATAAGTAACAGACACCGGATTACACCCTCTTTAAGAAAAAAGCTCTTTAACCCATTCTGCCACTTCAATCAGGACACAATCGGCCGCTGGAAGGCTTCTCGCCTTGGAAAACCGAAGGCATATTCAACACACTTCACTACTGCAAAGAAAGCAGGGTGCGATCACTGCCATCTAATTCATCCGGAGGCTAATTCGTGTTTAAGAAAACCAAATCGTGTTGAAATACACATATTGATAAGAGAACCTCTTTGAGCGGTCTTTGAAGCGAGCGCCTGCGGACGAATCTGCACAGCTATTTATGGAGCCGGAAATATTTGGGAAATTATCAAAACCCGTCGGATCCCCTCAGGTGTTTATAGCTGTAATTATTGGTGCGGTCGTGTCTGTTCCGCTGCGAGAGAGAGGGACAGGTGTTTAAAACGGTCTCATCGCCCTGCTCCAACATGTCATCTCAAGCCAGAACTGTCGAGCAAATTCTTCTCGGAAAGACTTTTATCGAGGTGTGCGGCAGATGTTGCAGCTGTAATAGTGTCTGGACAGTTAAAGTAGCTTGTTCAACAGTTAATTTTTTCTGAGAATTGATTCGACCAATTTTCCCGTCCGAAAACTAATTTTGTGATTGTATTTGGTAAAGACTTGAGGCACTTCACCTTTTAAGGGATGGTTCACCCAAAAATGAAAAATGTGTCATCATTTACTCACCCTCACACCTGTACGAGTTTCTTTCTTCTGTTGAACACAAAAGAAGATATTTTGAAGAATGCTGGTAACCAAACAGCTGACGGCAGCCATTGACTTCCATAGTAAGGAAATAAAATACTGTGGAAGTTCAGCAGCTGTTTGCTTACCCACATTCTTCAAAATATCTACAAAATATCTTTGCTGGTAGCCACTGACTTCCATAGTATGGACATAAAATACCATGGAAGTATCTTCTTAAAAATACCTACATTTTCCCAAATATTTTCCAAACAGTTGCTGGTAGCCATTGACTTCCATGGAAATTATGAAAATAAAATAACATGGTCAATGGGTCCAGTCAATGTCAATAGGGACCAGAAACAGTTTGCTTACCCACATTCTTCACAATATCTTTGCTTGTAACCATTGGAAAAAAATACAATGTAAGTGAATGGCTACCCGGCAACTTTGCTTCCCAACATTCTTCAAAATATCTTGTTTTGTGTTCAGCAGAAGAAAGAAACTCGTACAGGTTTGGAACAACTTGAGGTGGAGTAAAATGATGACAGAATGTGCATTTTTGGCTGAATAATAAAGTGCAGGAAAATGAGCTTTGATGAAGAAACACAGATGAATCAAAAGCAAAGAAGGATTTATTTGAAAACTCCTACTTCTTTAAATCAGCGTTCTGAATTTTCATTAGGCACATATTTCATATCGGTGTTTATGCTACTGTAAGTCTTGTCGTCAAGGCTTTCTCTTAATGAATCAACCCGCCACTCGTCTTGACTAAAGCGCAGTAAAAGTGAAAGAAAATCCCCACCTCAAGGCAACCATAGGCTTCTGACAGTCATCGATGACAGTCGCGACACAGCCAGTGACGCATGTGTGATGTGAGCAGGCGTTTTGTGTAGTGGACCCTGTGACGGCTCGTTCTCACCCAGGTGTGTGAAGTTGCCCGTGGGGTGGGAAGAGCCTGGAGTGATACCAGAGTCTGGCCATTGAAAGTGCTGCTGAACGATGACGGTCACATTGTATTCTGATGAAATCATGTGATGTTCACTGTAGGGCTGGAGATTGATTCAGTTTGATTCTGATTCACAAACTCTTGATTCCATTCAATTTTCATTTGATATCAGTGTATATACAGTGGGTACGGAAAGTATTCAGACCCCCTTAAATTTTTCACTCTTTGTTATATTGCAGCCATTTGCTAAAATCATTTAAGTTAATTTTTTTTCCTCATTAATGTACACACAGCACCCCATATTGACAGAAAAACACAGAATTGTTGACATCTTTGCAGATTTATTAAAAAAGAAAAACTGAAATAATCACATGGTCTCCTGTCAGTTAGTACATCAATATTAAAGGTTAAATTTAATTGCTATTTATTTGTAGATATGATTAACACCAACATTGTATAAAAATATTTAAATTAAGTTTTGATGTTTTTTTCATATTAGTTTTTATATTTAATGATAGAATTATGTTTCTAATCCAATTTGGTGTTAAAGTATAAACATTTAAATTGTGGCTGTCATAAACTTTTATTTTTTCTTTCTTTCTTGTGTGTGTGAGTGTGTGTGTTTGTTGGGCCGTACCCAGCTGTAGCAGTCGTGCTGCTGGTAGATGGGTATCAGATGGGAGCAGGATTAGGCCGTGTGATCACACCCATGTGTGCCGCCCCATGTGGCTGCTGAGGCTCCAGTAGGTCTGGCCCGGCACTAATTCGGGGTGCTGGGGGTGTTGGCTCACCCCAGCAGTGGGTAGTGCAGCGCAGGCTCTTGTGGGACAAACTCAGCATGTGTCCCAGAATTCATAGTTCCTGTTCTTGTGCTCTGGTTGTGTGTTTATGAGGGGCAAAGACCATAAAGGACAGGTCTGAATGATGTAGGGTGACCAGACGTCCCGTTTTTCCTGGGACAGTTCCGTATTTCGCTCTATTTTTCGAGTCCCAATTTTGACAAAATCATGTTTTGTCCCGTATTTCAAAATTTCTTTACGACTGGGTGATCAGAGCAAGTGTTCTATTAAGCCAAAACAGCCTAATTAAAGGTAACCAAGCTCATCGTAGAACAAAATTACCATCCAGTCACAATTTGTTATCGGTTAACTTGCGCCATCAGTTCATCTTGTGCCTGAATTGTCAAACGCACACACAGTTGTCAAAATGTCCATCGTGTGAAGTATCTCACATAAATACAGTGTCTGCTATGGCTTAAGTGAACATAAACAGGTGGGTGAATATGTGTCAGTAATTACAATCCGTGCATTCGGTACAGCAGCCTAATTAAGTACAAGTCTGTCATTAATGTTAATCAAACAACAAAATATGTTATTTATACATGTTAAATAAACCTATTGTATTTGAAAAACGAGTTATTTAAAAATATTATTATATATAAAGCCATTGAACTGATCACTAACAGACAGTCTGTTACTTTGATCAGGAAAGCTTTCTGTAGTACTTGCTGTTGTCACCTGCGTATTATTGTGTGCTTGGTTTTCATGTCTTTTGAGACAGAGGTTAACAGGATGGGTGACTAACCTACTTAGCCACCGCGTCAGCACTCTCTAGAGTATCCTGATCTGTGAATTAACAAGAAACATGGCGTTGAAGCCGTCGCCGCTCATCGACCACATCACTGGCTGCTCCTGTGATCTCGCTCTTATCTGTGTTACTGGATGATGTTTAAAT